AGACACCAAGAGAGGGGGGGGGGGGGGGGAGAGAGAGAGAGAGAGAGAGAGGAGAAAAGATCGAAGCTTTATCGTCAAAGGTATTTTTTATGTCTGAGAAGACAAACAAGGAGGGTCCAATCTTTTCTCTTTCAGAGACACATAAACACAAATACATATACATATATATGTGGGTGTGTGTGTATATATATATACAGAGAGAGAAAGGAAGAAGAAGAAGAGTAAGTATATCACCTTGTCTTTTTGGGAGTTCTTCTTTGATCTCTTTTTCTTTCGCTTTCTCTCTCTACTTGTCTGCGAAGAAACCTTGGCGATTGATCGTCTCTCCTTTTCACCACCTTTCTCTACCTATATCTTATACATAGTAAAACTACGGGTAAATATTTATTTATTTATTTATAAACAAAATTTTAGACAAAAAAAGCGGAGAAATGATTAAATTTTGATAATATCTCATTGTACAACACAGGATCTTGTCTTTCCAGACTTTGTCTCCAGGTCTTGTGTGTGTTTTCTTCTATTTTGAATTTTGGGTTTGAATTTTTTTTTTGAAAAGCCAGATAAAATTTTGTTTCTTTATTACCAAACCTATAGTTAATTAATTAATTAATTGATTGTACGGGGGGCCTAGGTAGCCTTGTAATCCATAAACTAGTATATAATATATACCCCGTAACATTCACATAGTTTAACTAGTATTATGACTTACAAAAAAAATGATTTTAGAGCTTTAATGCATGGAGAATATGAAATAAAATTGGGCCGAACAAAATTAGGGTAGAAAAAAACAGAGGAAATGAGTTAAATAGGAATTTGTATTTTAGCAATTTTTTTTTTAAAAAAAAGAGCAGAAAAAGAGGAGGAACCCACTAGAATCACTGACTCCTACTCCACAATCTCTCTCCCTCTTTGTAACCGCCTGTCTTTGCTTATTGGCTCCTTTTCATCAAATCTCTTTTTGGGCTTATTCAAGTACACTCTATATATACACACATATATATATATGCATATATATATATATATATTCAATTATAGACATAGACAGACATATGCGTGATGGATGTATGAAAGGAATATGGCAAATCTGTGAAAAAGGGCTCTTTGATTCTCTCGGCAGCGTGGATCATGAAGCATTATTTGTATATTGTTCTAACTAATATATGTATAAGACATTTTAGAATAAGTTTGAGAATCTTGGAACTGGCTAATTAGATAATAGCATTATATATATGTATATATATATATATATATATATATATATTTCCTTTCATATGTTTATGTGAACAAGTCCGTGTTATTGGTTCTTACTTTATCCTTATAGTGTTCATCGTATTTCGAGTAAGTAATATATTAGTTTGATAAAAATAAAGTTATATTTCTAAATCATATAATTGAGATCAAATTATTGTGCTCCATAGCCATATATATATAATCAATTTCGTGTTATACCATTTTTTGTAACATTAATGTCTATATGCAATGTAATTATATGCACAAAAGGACAACAAGACATTTTAATCATGTGGGGCAAGGAATGTTTGTCGATTTATAGTAGAAATGAGTTTCTATTTCTAACCCGTATAGCTCGTCTTGTTTAATGACCTTTGGGAAGAGAGAGGGATATCATGTAGCATATATATATATATATATAAAATATATATAAAACCATGTATAATATAGTAAGTTATATTGCTTATACCATTTCAACCAAAACACCCTTAAATTAATCACAATTATGGTGGAACCAATAAGAAAAAACTAAATGGCCATCTTCAATATTTTTATAACATCCCAATTGAGTTTTTTTATTTTCGGAATTGGGTTTGTTTGGTATTATCTTTAATTTTGTTGATGGGTCAACATCCATTCCCTGTCATCACCTAAATCCAATGCCACATCTCATATTCCTTTCCTCTATTAGAAAATTTTTAAATCCCCTTTGATTTGTTTGAGCTAATTTAGTCAATGATCTCTTCCTCCTCATTCGTTCTCTCCCTGATTGAAATTATTTGTAATTGTGATCTTAATTAATCCGTTCTTAAATTAGTAAAACCACATGCATATAAGAAATTTGATTTGAATAATGTATTTATTTAGATTACATAGAATAGATTTTATAGATTTATTATATTGTAGGATTTGGATATCTGGTTATGTATTTGTTTATGGCTACAATGCATTGTTAAAGATTTGTATGGACAAATAATTTTGTGTTCATCTACTAACTCTAATTAAATATTTAATATATATATTCATTTTGTTGTACCAATTATTCCTTCATGAAAAGCTAATCATTGGGTGGGGTTAGGCTCAAGTATATTAGGAGGTGACGATGGGTTATTTGGTTAATTAATAGGGTAATTAAAAGCCTAATAATGTATTTGGTCACATATACCATTACAGCATGTTTTTCTTGTGATACAATCTTCCTTCTAGTTCATGTTTTCTACAATAAGTTTGATTGGCTCATGAGATTTTAATTGCTCGTAAAATAATTAAGATTGCCATAGCATTTGTTGCTTACGTGTAATATATATATAAAAAATAGTTGTAAGTAATTATAATATAAGATATGCTTCTGCTATTTATTTGTGATGTCTTATGGTTATGGAGCAGTTGTAGACACTAGGATGGATAGGCCCATATATATATCAATAAAAATATAATACTACCTAAAAACTAAATAAATCATATACCACACATTTTGTCAATATATAATATATTATTAACAAATATTTCTATTTTACAACATAATGATACCCCAATAATCATTTCATTCGAATTATAATTCAGAAGAGATATTATAAAGTAAGGCTATTTTTTTTATTTAGTCAGTTTAAACACAAAAGTTATATAGACTAATAATATATACTCAAATCATTTACAAAATAATATACCTGCAAATTTTATGATTTTTTGTAGAATATTAAATTGATAGGACAAATTTTCAAAAATCTTATACGTAATAAAAAAATATACTTACTGAATTTTATATTTCGTAATATATAATTTTTAAAATAAATAAAATGAGACAATTGTAAAGTTAATATTCATATAAATAAAAGTTCGAAACTATAGTTGTTGTTTTAAAATAATCTAAAATAATATTCAAGTATATTTTTTGCTGATACGTATAATAATTATATAAAGGTGGAGGAAAAAAATCGATAGCGTAAGAAATAAAATGTTCACGTGAAGTAAATAAAATTATAAATGTGGAAGCATGTTGCAAAGAGTCAACATGGGCGAATGGACGCAAAGGTTTGACCAACAAAAGGCAATTTACTTACCTATAAAAAATTTAAAAATAGTTGGTCATTTATTTCTAAAAAAGGTTTGAGATTTAATTTTGGATCAATAATCTCGTAAATTATGGAAACGAGAGCTGTTTATCGTTATTATTATTTTCAATAAAAAAAAATTTTAAAAACGAAAATGGTAAAATCCAAATCCGAAATATTGACATCTGCTTATGATCGCGGAAACAGGGAAAAAAATGGATTTGAGTGAGAACCTTTTTTTGGCATGCAATGATTTTAGGTGATTATAAGGACAAAACCAGAGAGACCCGCATTCAGACAGACAGAACTCTGCAAAGATTGTACAAACCCTAATCTCTCTTCTCCTCCAATATCTGTATTCACTGAATTTTACCCTTCTGAAGAAAAAAAAAATGATTCGGAGCCGTACCAGTACGAAGTACGAACTACAAAAAGCACAAGGGTCAACAACCATGAGATGTTCATGAACATCATTACCTGGGCAAGCTTCTTCTGTCTTGTTTGGTGAAAGGATCAGAACAAACATTACATGACATTACACAACACAAAGGCCGCTCTCTTGATATTGTGAGGAATTGAAAAAAGGTTACATAAATTGATGACAATGAATAGCTCAAGAGGAACTCATCTGATCACCACCATGTACAAAGTTGTTATCTTCACTCAGCAGGTCAAGAACATGAAATTGCTGGTGAGATTAGGCAAATATCCGACGAAGTTTCTAAAACAAGTAAGAAAATATGGGTTACAAAGATGATGTCGAGACGATATATGAAAAGAAAAAACCTGTTAGAAGATGAAAGCAAGCCGCCTAAAAGTCTTGAACGATCGAACGAAACCTGCAGAAAATGTCACAGAAGCATATTCCATGGCAAGCAAATGCATCAACACCTCAAACTAATGTAAAAGATTGCCACTCTGATGGATCGGTATGACTAATGCATCTCTGAAACGTGAAAACTGGGAAACAAGACTAACAAGTACTGCGATCGCGGGTGAAGAACAGAGAAATAATGTTGCGTATGCATTAAAATCAGAACGAGGGCTTTAATCAACTAGGCATTTAGCTAGAAAATAAGTAAACGAGGAACTCAGAGAAGCTTTATTCGTACTCGAATTGTACCTCAACATGAATATATTTCCCCACGAGGAATTCAGAGGAGCTTTATTCCGGCAAGCACTGAGCAAAAGGTTTAAATCCAATGCCGAAATACAGACGTAACTCCAAGAAAGGGACTTCAAGCAAGGGAATACCTGGAAGTTTGGTTCAACCCCAGTAACTGAATTATGGGCAAGACGTAAAAGATTCTAACTTTTGCCGCCCACAAATGTCAAGAATATTGACAATTGGGGTAGTCTGGACGTTATAGGACAATCTTCGCAAGGTTTCTCTTGTATACAAGAGCCAAGCAATAACGGTGGAGGCAGAAAACTTGTTGGCGACGTCCATCATATCGTTTGAGTTATAAGGATTTCTAACCAATTGGTTGTGAGTTCTCGATAAAATGGCCAATGACTGGAATTGAACGAAAGCGTATGAAGGTGCTTTCGACATGCCTACGCCATGTCCTACATGTTGCAGAAGCTATCACCGCATCCCGGGCTCCCCCGAGCCGTGACAATATGTTTCCAACAACTTCCACCGATAGATTCTCCATAAACCTAAACGGAAATAACTTCCAAGCCCGAAACAGCAACCACCAAATGTGTAGGATAAACTTGGTACTGCGAGCTTCTCGGGCCAAAAAAACTGAAACTGTATGCAAAATAAAGATTTCTTGGGAAAATTGCAAGGATTTCTTTCCAATGAACAGCTAACACAGTCTGCAACATCATAAGCATGCGATCTTTGGCCAGATAGCATATAGCCATCATCTGGAAACCTAAATTAACAAAAATCCAACTGCAGATCAACTCAGTGCAAAACTCTAATCAATAAGCAACAACAAAACGGAATTAAAAGTAAAAAAACATGACAATGGAAAAGGAAACTTAAGAACAGAAATCAAGTCCTCTGCCACAATATGAAAAACAAAAGGCACAACTGAAGTAAAAAACCGAAACCAGTTCAAAAAAATTCGAAGTTCAAACATGGGAACAAAAGGGGATTGCTTTGTTCGAAAAGCACTAGAGTCCTAGACAAAAAAGCTCGAGAATTCCAGTCCAGGAACCGAAATGGCCGATCAAACTGACAAATGGAGAAGAAACCGATCAAGGAACCTAAATCAAGAATCTAGTCAATCAAAGACCCGAAATTCAGTCCTATATGCACCGAAATACGAAAAAGGACCCGAAGAAAAAAGATTCCAGATTCACGGACCGAAATCCCAGTATCCTAGAACAAGCGAAAAACCGAGAAGACGAATCGAGTCGTGAGGTGCAAAACCTAATACAGACCGAGAAGCGACCGGGAAGATGAGCAATAGAGTCGAAAGAGCAGAGCATAAGATCTTACGAGACTTTGCATTGCATCTTCAACGTTGAGCAATCATGTTGACGACAATCGATCTGATAAAGAAAAAGGAAAGAGTACAGAGACGGACGGGAAAGACAACGTGGTGCTGATATGATGGGTTTATGGGGTTTATTTGTAAACGACGTATAAAACTGGGGTCGATTTGTAATAATGAAGTTTTTGGGGGTTACACGGAAAAAAAATAGGAATCTAAAAAGATGATGATCTTCTCACATCTTAAATCTTCAAAAAGTTGAAAATGAAATCTTAAACACTCTTTGGATTACTGTACATCTACAACTGACCCAAAATAAAATTAGGAGTTTAATTACAAAGTTCGTACAAAATTTGGGGCGTATTTAGGAATTTCCCTTTTCATTAACATTGGATTAAAGAAGGATTAACGAAGGGTTAAAAAGACTGTATATATATGATTATTTAGAAATTTTTTTTATATACCTTAACGAAAGCTAATATGGGCTTCTTTCATAATGGGCTTCATGAAAGAAATTATGAGGCCCGAATTTATTGTGGAGACCCACATGGACAAAGTCCCCTAGGGTTTTCCCTCTCCGCTTCATTTTCGCTTTCCTTGCTATAAAATCTTCAGCCGCTTCCCAGGAAACTAGGGCTTCTTCTTCTTCTTCGTCTTTCAGGTTTGTTGTTTCTCCCTCTTCGTCTTCTTCTGTCACCTTATCTGGGTACTCCGCAATTTCGTAAACTGTTTCTATGGACGCAAGATTTTCTGTTTGGTTCTCGGGAAACGGAGGAAAAATAAAAAGATGATGGGTTTATAGCTTAATCGCTGATCAGATATTTCCGTTGGATTATTGCACTCATTTTCTCTTTTCGATGATTTTTGTTTTTGGATTCCAGTATCGGAATTGGCTGAATTGAGAGACATCCGAGATGAGGTACGTAAATCGCTTTCCTTTTCAGCCCTTCCATAATTCTCTCTTGGTGTTTTGCATGATCAGATACGGTTGTACAAATGTATATATACTTGTTTGTATTCTTGAATTGTGCGTTTAATCGAAGATTAATATTCGTTATGTTTCTGTTCCTCGTAGCTGATAGATTTGCTCTGGAATCCTTAGTGTTGTTTATGCATAAATGCTCTATTTGTACTTTAGAGGCGTTTCAATCCACTTTCAATGTTAGATTACTGTGATTAATGGTGGGGTAGTTTCACAGTTTGTATCCATCACAGACAAGTATATCTTGCCATCATTGGCTTGTTCGATCGATCGTACAAGTTGCTCTGTGATTGTGTGCAAACACATTGCTGCATTTTGCTACAGTTCTTGATTTGATTAGTGAAAACGGGTTCTTTGCTATAGTAAGCTTCAGAGTGATGCCCTTAGAGAAGCCATCTCGACAATTAAGGGAAAATGCGAGGAAAAGAAACGTAACTTTGTGGAGACAATTGAGCTCCAGATTGGTCTGAAGAACTATGATCCCCAGAAGGACAAGCGTTTCAGCGGCTCTGTCAAGTTGCCTCACATCCCCCGCCCGAAAATGAAGATTTGCATGCTTGGAGATGCCCAGCATGTGGAAGAGGTGATTATTACTTTGTTGTTTTCCTTAACATTTTGATTCTCTATCGGTTTATTTATGTAGATAAATATGCACCCTGACTTCTGGTATTTTTTTCTCTGGTTTAGTGGTTGTAAGAAACCGTTGTTCCTGATCCTGTTGCTCGGGTTTGTGTGTGAGTTTTGATACAAATTATTTCATTTGATGTGGACAGGCTGAGAAAATGGGTTTGGACTACATGGATGTTGAGGCCTTGAAGAAGCTCAACAAGAACAAGAAACTCGTCAAGAAACTCGCAAAGAAGTACCATGCTTTCTTGGCTTCCGAATCTGTCATTAAGCAGATTCCTCGTCTTCTTGGTCCCGGTCTTAACAAGGCAGGCAAGTTCTCGTGACCCATTGAGCTGTATTGCCTCTTTTCCTTTCAAACACATGTTATATTTATAAGGTTAGCCAAAGGGACATGTTCCATATTTAATCAGTCATTTGGTCAGTAAGCAAATGATTCTTATTGTTTTGGTTTATGGATTTTTTACTTATGCACCCCTTTTTTGTTCTTGCGCTACAGGAAAGTTTCCAACTTTAGTGTCCCACCAAGAATCGTTGGAATCGAAAGTGAACGAGACGAAAGCAACGGTTAAGTTCCAGCTGAAGAAGGTTCTGTGCATGGGCGTTGCGGTAGGGAACTTGGCCATGGAAGAGAAGCAGATATTCCAGAACGTTCAGATGAGCGTAAACTTCCTTGTCTCCCTCCTCAAGAAGAATTGGCAAAACGTCGGTTTTTTCTTCTAGAAACTTCTCCCCTCTTTCACACTTTCAGTTTTGAATCTTGATGATTGGTTGCATTGAACGGAATAATATTTGCAGGTAAGGTGTTTGTACCTGAAGAGCACAATGGGTCCTCCTCAACGGGTCTTCTGAAGAGTGTTCTTCCATTGGACGGTACTGTGATGCTTGATGGATTCGTCTTGTTAGCGGCCTGACTATACAATCAGTTTATGTTTGTTTTTTGTTTTTGATATCTTTGGATCATAAATGAATCGCCGTTGGACTTCTATGAAAAAGGCTTTTTGGGTATCGACAGATCGATCATACAGATTAATGGGTCGTTATAAGTTTGCTAATTAATCTCAAAATCAAATCTAATCTAACATTTTTGTATCTCAAAAGTAACAAAAGAAAATCTGAACAAAATCGAGCAGAAAATGGATCAACTGATACGGGGTTTTTGGTTCACGTGTTACTCCTAAATCAGACAATTTGGGTTTGGTTAGTGTCTTTTTTGTCTTACCAGAAGTTGGGTTCACGTTACACAACACATTAAAAAAGGTCGGCCATTCTATGATTTATAATTAAATGCTCGTTCAATGAACATTTTCGGACAGCGGTGGAGACCGAGGAAGGAAAGATCCGACAGAAGACTGATGAGCCAACTCGTATAGGCCATTCGTCATTTTCTCATACTAAAAATTATAAATTATTAGTTTCTCTTTTTGGTATCGTTTTGGAGGGTATGAATTATTACTAGTATAATTTTTTATTTTTGTTAATGTAATAGATTATGAAAATGGTGAAAACGTTACTTAATTACGGTGTTTTAGATGAAAATTACCATCTTTAATTTTTTTATTAATTTGTTTTATAAATTTTATGGACAGCACTATTGTTTTGTGTTACATTATATAGTATTTTTAGATGACTAAATTATAATATTATAAACTATTACAACATTACAATTTGCGTTATTGGTATAATTTGGAAGTTGTGGGTGAACTTCTCGAGGTGTCCATATGTTGGGAACATACGCAGCCATTGGCGTCTGTCAAGAGACGCTCTTTAATTAATTAAAAAAAGAAGAAGAAGCTAAATCTCGCTTTGGCCCTCAACAACTTTCCAAAGGCCAAACTTTTTAAAAATATTTAAATATAATTTGTATGTATGCCCAAATTTTAAAATAAGTAAAAAAAATGATAATAAGATGTTTGAGTGTACTTCATTTGGCATTATTTTAGAATTTCGATCCAAATATATATAGCGCAGCGTGTTTGTATATTAGAAAGATTTATTAGAGTTTAGTTGAGTTACATTACATCTGATTTAATAATTATGCTGAATTAAATTCTGCATTTCGATTTTTTAATAGTTTTCATTTAATAATTATGCTATAATTTCATATACACGTCCATACAACATATGTTTACATGTTACCAGACGTAGTAGGAAAAGATATACGACGTGTAAATAAACTTCTTTTTTTTTTTTTTACTGTTTCACCTAAATTGTGGTTTAAAAAAAATATAAATCGCACGAGAAAATCACTTTTTTTAGGTTACAAAAAGAGAAAAAAAAAGTGAAAACAGGGGGTGGTAGGCGGAAATTTATAAGCAGTCTCTTAGGGTATTATTACAATAAGGTCGGCCTCTATAAAGCCACCCCCACCCCCTCTTCTCTCCCCTCCCTTTTATATTTCCTCCTCTCTTTGACCCTTTCTCTGTGTCCCTTCTCTCTCTCTCTCTCGTGGTGTCCGCCATTCTCTCTCCAGCTTGTATGTGGTTCTTCTTCCCTTCTGTGTTTGATCCTTTGTGTTCGTGGTAGTTTTGGATTCTGGGTTTTGCTTGGATTCTCTGGGCAAGGTTGATTTTTTTTCGTTTAGGGTTTTGTGTTCGTGTGAGATGTGTTTTAGGGTTTTGTTGATTTTGATCTGTTATGTTATGTGATGTTTCGAGATGGGTTCTGTTCCGTTTGTTTGTTTTTCATGGAGACAAACTCTTCTGTTGGTTCTTTTCTTAGGTTTTTCCGCCTCCATCGCTGTCTGAAAACGACTGATTTTGTTTTCATTGAACGAGAAATGAAATCCTAAAAGGGCCGACTTCTTTTTTTTTTTTTATGTATTGTGATGGAAACCCTATTTATTTTTGCTTGTAACATTCATGAAATGCGAAACGAAAGTGGAAATGGGAATAATCAAGAGACCAATGAAACTATTTAAGTCGCTAATCCGTAATCTACTGATAATTACTAGATGTTTAGGTTTCTGAAGCTGTTATTATGCCCATATTCTGAGTTCCAATTAGGATCCGAGGTTGTCTGTTTTTGTAGTGCAGAGTTTGGATTCTGTGTCAAGTTTGATGTTAAATTGTTCCAGTCTGAAATGGTTTATACCGTGGAAACCAATCCTAACTCGTTGTCGGTCAGATCTGAATGAACATATTCCTTCATGTTTTGTAGTTCTTTCGATACTTGGATACAAGCATCCAAGAACAAAACTTTACCGGTTACCTTTGCTTGTTCGTCAGTATCTTTGTATGTCCGAAGAGTTCTTGTCAGAGTTTCATAGTATTAGTTAGTCTAGGTAATGTTACGGTTTAGTCGTAGGACCAATAAGGGTTTATGTCTGAGCGTATCGTCTTGTCGGAGCATCGAGTGAAGAGCGGAAAAGCCCTGAGCTTGCATCTTCTCATAGCGCTCCGTACATAAAATTTTGCCTCACTCTGCACAAAGGAACAGATTCTTCATTGGTTCTGTTTTCCAGTGGTAGATAGTGATGAACATAGTAAAAGGTGTAAAATTTGATTCCCTTTCTTTTAGGAACATCTTTTGTTTGTGTTAACACTAAATTTTGCTGAAGCCATTCCATGAACGATGGATTAAAGTCTGGTCTTGAATATGGTTTGTTCCCTTTGTGTTTTTATAGATTTGGTGAATGGTATTTCTGTTGAAGAACAGCCATATGTGTCGGGTTGCGACTATGATTATATGTATCTTGTTTAACATTGTATTCCACCAAGTATATTCTGCAAATTCGACGAATTGGATGTTGATAAATTGCATCCTAACCCGTATAATACCATTTCGGATGCAGGTTTGAAAAATGGCTGCCGTGAGAATCTCTTCCCCGTCCATGCCCAAGGCTGTTCTCAGTAACCAACCAGCTAAGCTCATCGTCAACAAGAGCCGAAGCATGTCCCTTGGATCCACCAAGAAAGTGTCTGGATATTTCGGGTTGAAATGCTCGGTGAACTCCGGCCCGACCATGTCAGCCACCTACAAGGTCAAGCTGATCGGACCCGAGGGGGAGGAGACCGTGTTAGATGTTCCGGAAGACCAGTTCATCCTGGACGCAGCCGAGGAGGCGGGAGTCGACCTGCCCTACTCTTGCAGGGCCGGCGCCTGTTCCACCTGTGCCGGAAAACTCGATTCGGGCACTGTGGACCAATCCGACGGCTCGTTTCTTGACGATGATCTAATTGAAAAAGGGTTTGTCCTCACTTGCGTGGCCTACCCTCAATCCGATTGCGTGATCCACACCCACAAGGAGAACGAACTCTTCTAAGCTTCGTCGCATGGATTTAGAGATTGCGGGTTTCGTCAATTGAGAGATCCTTGGTCGTGATCTTATCGAAAAACTTGTTTGGTGTTAATAGGGTAATGTTCTTGTTCAAGTTTCACTTTCTGTTTCTTGAGTTGTGTTCTGTAGTGAATTTGTCTAAGCTGTTTCCTTACCAGAATGTCCCAACAGGAACTGGGTCATAAAATGTGAACCGGTTTTGGGCTGGTTAATAAAACGCTTCATGTGAAATTGAACTTTTGGTTAATGCTATAGAGTTCTTATACATGTTTTAGAATGCTAATGCCAAAACAGGTCATTGATCGAACCGGGACGATTGTATAAGTCTGTACCGGTTCCCGGTTTTGTGTGCAAACCAAACCGATTTAGAGAATGCCTACCGTAAATATGTTCGGTAGAAGAAAAGGTACATTAATTATAAGCAGATACAATTTAAGGGTTTGTAACTTTGTAATATTTGGAAGGGATGGGTGGTTATTTCGTGTTTTGGTCCAGGTTCGATTATTTCGATTATAGAAAAATTATAATAATTCGGTTTTTATATAAATTTTGATTTGGTTCGGTTTTGTTATTTTTTAATCGGTTTTTTAGATTTAGAAAAATTATAACCATTCGACTTTTATATTAGATTCGTTTTAATTACGGTTATATTTTATTGGATTCGATTTAGTTGGGTAACCAAAATGTCCACTGGAGGCATATATTATGAAAAGGGTAGAACCGGAAAATAACATAGATCACGAACCTTGCAAGTTTGGGTAATTGGGCCGACTCGGCCCAAATCATTTCGCCTACACAAAAGGCGGGAAAATGGCGCAACGATCGAGAGACCGAGAGAGATGGAATCGGAGAAAGTGGTGGCGGAGGAGCTGCCAAGGGCTATCGTGCGACGGGTGATGAAGGATAAGTTGTCGGAGTGCTCGCCGGATTATGACGTCAGCATTCACAAGGAGGCTCTGCTCGCTTTCGCCGAGAGTGCACGGGTCTTCATCCACTATCTCTCCGCCACGTGAGTCACAAAACCCTAGATTTCTGAAATTCCTCGTTCGTTCTTGTTTTTACGTTGAACAGTTTCGTATATTTCCAGTTTGGCTCTTTGGGCATCGCATTCCTGTGGAGAATTCGACTATTCGATCATGCAGATTAGTGTGGTGATATTAAACCTAATGATGCGTGGGAAATTCGATGTTGTTATCTGACATTTTTATGAAATTCGGTGAAATTGAGCTCTGATTTTCCATCATTGGGCAGAGTTAGAACTAATCTCAAATCCGGGTTTTGTTTCCGGAATGATTGTGAAGGAAAAGTCGGTGTTCGGACAAAATTATGTTGCTTTACTTCAATGGCAGAAATTAGGGTTCTTTTTCATCTTCAGGTATTTCCCCCTATGTTTAATGTTGTGTGACGTAACCTGAAAGTGCACTATGTGGTTTTATTGTGAAACATAGGGCAAATGATTTGTGCAAAGAATCGAAGAGGCAAACGATGAACGCGAATGATGTGTTGAAGGCATTAGAGGAAATCGATTTCCCAGAATTTGTGGAACCTCTTAAGACCTCTCTTGAAGGTGAGTCGATCTTATGCACAGATCATATTCTCCGTTCTTGTTGTATCTGTTGTTTGTTCATGGGGAAACTACTGTGAGAAGTGTGTTGAAGGATATTACAATCGTTTAAGAATACAATTGTTTGTTTCGATTTGTAGGTTACAGAGTTTCGGGATAATCTCCTAAAAGTGTTCTCTTCTGCTGTTGTGTTTGTGCCATAAGGTCTTCTTGTGTCAATGTTCTTCCTTTGTAATCTAAATTTGCGATTTTCAGAATTTAAGCAGAAGAATGCTGGGAAAAAGTCCGGAGGTGGAGGAGGGTCGAAGCCGAAAGAGACTAAAAAGAGGAAACAGGAAGAATCATCGTTGCAGAACGGTCGGAGAAAATCCAAACCAGGCAAGGAAAAGGAAGAGAATGATGACCATAACATGGATGAGAATGGGAATGAAGATGGCGACAACATCAGTGGCGAAGAGGAAGATGGCGATGAAGCAGAAGCCTGAACTCGAGGTTTCTTTTTTTTTCCCGCACCCGAATCTGAAGCCACTGCGATAATCTCTGTTCATCTCAATGACAGAACAGTAGTTTAACTTGTATGGCCATTGCAGTTGTTTACTGAGCCAGTGTTTCTGGGTTTGTCCTCTACTTCACTTTGCCTACATTGTAACTGAAAAATCCAATGGTTTGATTAGATTTATTTATAGGAATTATTTAGTAGGCTTTATTGTTTTTATGTTTTGGGTTTCTATCATTTAATCTGATTTTGGTTGTTTTAATTATTTAATTGGATTGGGAAGATTAGATTAGGAATAGTAATTGGTCAACACTAACGTGTTTTCACTCTTAGACCCGATCTTAGATCTTTTGTCATCTTCGATTTTAGCCATCATGTATTTTGCAAAGGTTTTGATGGAATGAAAACATTATCGAAATCTATAAAAAGAGAAGGCAGAAAGAAAGAATTCAACGTCCCCCCTAACAAGTACACTGGCAAAATTTGGAGAAAGATGCCTACATACATTCACTGATTGTGAAAGCTTCCCATACATGTATACATACATACATACATATATATGTATATGGACTGTTTTCTCCTAGCCTGCTTCATTATGTTCTGGTGAGTCGTCGACGTATAAAGGGTTTACTTGAGGTAGTCGGCTACGCTCTGAGTAACATTTTCGAGGAAAGAGACGAAACCGATACCGTTGAAATCTTGTTCTTCGAGGAGATAGTTCTCGAAGGCTGTCGGGTCATCTTGTCCTCCTCGGATAAACATCAGTTTCGGCGTTATGCTTCTCTCTTCCTTGAGCTTCTTTATCTTCTTCCTCAACAAACCTGCAAGAACACACTCAAGTTAACTTCCCTATACACAATTCCGGTAGGCAGGTTGGTTTTAAATTCAGATTACCATACATAAAACCGATAATATAAACATATCTATATGTGTCGGAGAAAATAAACTTACAGTCTTGAGGCGGAGGGAAAGGAAGGGACGGGTCTGCAGTTGATGAGTACAAGACTATCACAGTGGTGTATGCGTCGAGGAAAAATATGGGGCTGCCGCTCGTTATCAGTGCTGCCCGGCTTAATGAATGGCGTGGGTACGCTTGTTTATCGGGCGATGAATACGACGTCAATTCCGGGTAAATGGCACGATGAAGAGAGCTCGGCTCCAAGACACTGCATACCAAAAGGAAAAAAAAAAGTGAAATCTATTATCGTGTCTCTAGTTTTTGTCAATCATCTCTAACGTTTATAATCACTTCCAATCAACTCCAATATTCTCAAATCTATTTTGTAACGTGTTTTAGGATAACCTGAAAAGGCATTGCAGGTAGATTCTGAAATCGGGGTGAACGCCTTCTTCGTGAAAACGGAGAAGGGGATTTCGGGTCAAGGCGAAGACCAAGCGAGGCAAAGGCTGAAGTTGGGGACATTGTGAGAATGAGACATCGATCTGAGAAATCATCGAGTTTCCGTTTTTGTACTGAACGAGTTTAAAGGCATCGTTATACTGGGCTGTTAGGATTACTAGCCAATCATGTAGCAATGCCCTCCCTTCTCGTACTCCTTGATCCAGAGAGGCTAGAATTACCTGCAGAAATTATAATTCTGAGAAAATTAAGAATCCGAATCCAGCCTTTTCTAAAGATTAGAAATTTTTTTTTAAAAAAAAGTTACCTTATGAACAAGCAACGAGAGAACAACTTCCGAATCAACACTGTCATAAAGCTCATTGATGTTGCGAGCAGTTCCGAATTGCATAGTTCTTATCCTTAGTCGTCTTTTAAGTGTGTGCTTGCCTCTGCATATAACGTATACTAAGATCCTCAAATTCTTCTCAAGAAGCAATATTTCAACAAACAAAAAAATGTGAAGCTATATAGTCAATAATCGGGTGTGGTGTGGAGAGAACTGTTCTAGGTCTACGAATTATTCAATACATACATACATACACATATAAACACGTTCATCTTTACAATGTATTTACTCATACCTAGTTGAAGATACCATTTCAGAGTTTGACTGTTCCATGACTGTATACTGGAAGGCAATCTGCACCACCGGTTGCTCTCCGGAATGCCTGGGGAAAGCAATATCAATCATTAGAAGTCCAAAGAAGTTTATATATAAGAAATTGAATTCTGTCAAAAAATGCTTGTTTTCCATCTTGAAATGCCTACTCCTATATTCTATATTCTAACTCAAATCTTGGAATTTCAGCATGCAGCTAAATTGGATTGATGATACTGTAAAAGCACGAAAATGACTACTAAATACTAACTGATAGACCGAAAATGAAAAGAGGGTTGTAAAAATGCGACTCGCGAAAAAAAGCTTCTGCAACAAGTATTTCAAACACACACAAAATCAACGAGCACTGTGACTGGTAAAATACCGATTAACGCATGAAAACACACGGGATACCTTGTATGCCGTTCATATTTACCCAATTATTGTAAGAAAATAGGAATTACAATTATCGAAAGTTCTTTTACCTGGAAAATCCAGTATTATTTGCAAAATCGAAGTCATAAGCATATGTTGCATATGAGTCGCAGCAGATTATATGTTGTACATTCTCATACTGTGGATCAGGAAAGAAGTGACCGTACTGCAAGAAAGGTTAAAACTGTTAGACAAAGCAACCAGTAGCGACTTCTAAACTAAATAAACATATTCAGTAAACTACGTACCGAGTGACCAGGTTTGAACTCAGTTGATGTCCTCAATCTCAACACACAATTGAAAGCATATGGCCGGCTAAGCATCTGAAACCTACAATAGAATATGATAGAGCATTCCCCAACAATTAATTTGGCCATAAATGAAGTAAACTCATCTGCAGCAGCGTGGCATTTCGTAGGTACTTCTCTTTCTACTAGAGAAAAAGGTGGAAAATCAATGCCATCTTAGATCAAAATTGGAAATAACATAAACAGAGAGCGAGTTTTTACATCAAGGTTCAAAACTACGAGAAAAAAGAAAATCCTAAAGTCGGGGAATCAAAACTCACATGTCCTGCGGAAGGGTCGAGTCATCGGTGCTTGAATACAAAAAGAGTGAGCCACCACTTTCGATACTAAGGAACTTTAGTGAGGCTAAATCTGTGTACTCATTTGTAACTGCAAATAGGTCTACGCATACACCTGATTGAACAGCAATGGTAGCCTATAAAGTAGACGTCAATGGCTAAGCTCACCACATATTCATCTAGGAGGTATAGCATATTGAAAAAAAAACACTTACTAGGTCTTTGTAGAATGGTGTTTGCTCAGGAAGCAGAGCACGATCTGCATCCACCCTTTTACTTGCGTACTGTTCCCCATACCTACTTGAATCCAGCTGTCCACGGCCATAATCAGGAGGACCAGAGAGGAAAGCAAAAACCCTAGCTGCAGTTACATATGACAGTCTTATAAAAAAGCCAACTATATGGAAGTAGCCTGATGATGAAAGATGAAGAGAAACATTAATGCTTGCCAACTATATAGCAAGCTGTATTTTATCACTCACCTAATGCAAATGTGTTCCCATATTCTGATCCAAGGTAGTTGAAGAGGGCTTCCATTGCCGTGCCGAAACCTCTGCCACCCATCAATACACCATCCAGTCCTTGAACTGCTCCAGCTGATCTTTCCCATGAAGTTATCGGTCTGAGCGTCTCAAGAGCAGCAGCAATACGGTCCTTGCAAGTGTGGACCTGTAGGGGAAACATACAAAGAACAATGGAACAATTACAAGAACAGAACAAGGAGACAAAAGACAGAGAAGGAGATGACCAAAGGCAAACATACCGGAGCCAAAAACTGTAATAAGGGCATGACATCCTCAAGTTCTAGCGATAATCTACGGTCAGCATCCGGTGGAATAAATACATTCTTTACAACTGGTATAGGACCTTGAACATCATAGAGTCCTATTTTGTGGCTGAATGTAGCAAGTCCAAAAAGCGCTCCTGGACTAAGAGCTGCAACAAGAAAACAGGAGGTAGTTTTCCACTCAGGACATAGTCAATATGGAGAGAAAATGAAATCCTTGCTTGACATATTAGAGAAATGACCTTCAAGAGCAGCCAGCAGTGCACTTTTTGTAAGTTCAAGAAACTCTTCCGAAGCTGCAGAATCAGAAAAAGTTACCAGAAAAAGGAAGATACAAGACTTCAACAAGGAAAGATACAAGTAAAAATGTATAGAACAACAAACTTGAAAATTGGGGAACAAGGAGAATTCTTAAGAGTGCCGATTACAATCCTTAAACCTATCAATTGCTTTATAATTCCAGAGACATGACAAGCACAAACTCATCAATCGCAATTCAACTATCGTAAGAATCATGAATCCGAAGTAAACTCATTGACAGTATACCCTACCGTGAAACAAGCCAAAACCCAATTAAACGTATCAAGCGTCAACAATAATCACCATCCAGACGAAGTCCAAACCAAATGCAAATAGCAGATGATCAGCAAGTAAACGTATTAGTTTTAGCTAATCACACCGATCAAATCTCAAACGAGCAATTCACCCAGAATCTATGCCGACCATGATCTGATCATCAAAGTTCCAACACATCAGACCGAAACGAAAACTTACATGACAGATCAATAGCAGCAACGTACACAGGCTGCGCTTGCGTCATTTCATCCTCCGATCCATCCACTTGAAACAAAAAAACCACGAATCACAAACCAATTCAAACAAAACCAGCCCAAAGACGATTAGAAAAGCGAACGCACAAGGCAATTCGAGATCGATGAAGGAAGAGAGCATCTCGGGACTAGACTGAGGGACAGAGTAGCGAGCGATGGCTTCGGAGGAGAGGCCATTGAGAGTGCCGCATAGCGAGCAGTTCCAAGCCCATTGGTCAACCTCGCAGTAGGAGTTAAAATAGGCGTAGCAGTGCTCACAGCGAGGGAGCAAGTGGCCGTTGGATCCGTACGCAGGTCCAACGCCGTTCTCGTCCTTCGACGCGAACGGAGTCACCGTCAGGCCCCACGGCAAACCCGCCGCCTCCTGAGCATCCGCGTCGATCGGAAACCTCGTCACCGCCGCTCGGACGGACATGGCTTCTTCGTTTTCCTCTTTTTTTTTTAAAGATTTTTCTTTTTTTCCCGGGAGAAGGTTTCAGTGAACTTGGCAGATCGAGGACAACGGATGACCCAAGACGAAGACGGAGAACCGGCGAGTGTGCGTAAGTTAGTCCTCAGCGTATTTTAGCAAATCGATTACATACTTATATTGCGGTAATTACATAAAGGTGCCTATACTTTAAAGCAATTCTTGAATGTGACATCTAGTTTTGGAATAGTTATTTTCCCCCTGTTTTTCTCAAATTTAGTTCTGGGGGTGTACTTCGGACAACAGTAACCAATAATATAATTTTGTGAACGACATTATATCGCATATTACTATCATCAAATAATTTCTGAATAAAACAAACCGGATAATTATCAATTTAATCTGATCAACGATTTTTATAGAATGTTTAAAAAAATCAAATTTAGACATATGGTATCTTATCTTTTCGATTTTATAATTAAGATCCATTTTCTAGGTATAATTGGAAAAGATAATCGTGGCTTTAGGTTTAGGTTCTTTGTAATGGCGTGTTTCAAACGCAGACGCAGGGGGAATCGCACCTCCGCGTTTCCAACGCTGTCATATTTACGCGTTTGCAAACCTTTATTCTGCTTGGCTTCAGTGGAAGGGAATAATTCCTCGCTCCTTTGTTCCTCCTGCTACTGTTAGAGCGGTCATAAGCATTATTCCGGTTGTGAGAGAGAGAATGGCAGACGGAGGAAGAAGAAGCCGAGAGGTGGTGGTTTCAGCTCTGCAATTCGCATGCTCCGACGAGGTCTCCGACAATCTCGCCACCGCCGAACGGTTCGTCTCTCTCTCTCTGGGTTCGTTTCTGCTTGTTTCATCATCTTTGGTGCACGTTGTCTCTCTCATATATTCCTTCTCTCTTCGAAATTTTCGGTTCTGTAACCTGCTCGGAGATGTTAGACGGCTGATTTCGTTTGATTTTGGAGGTGGAATCGAATTTCCCTGAAATCTTGTGCTTATCTTAGTCGGTCTTATGACTCTCATCTTCGTTGAACTTTCAAACATCGAAATCAGACTTCTATTATGGATTTGATTGATATTTCTCTATCTGAATATGTTCGGTGTATGAGAAGATTCTTGTTTGCATATACAGGCTTGTCAGAAAGGCCCACGCAATGGGAGCGAATATTGTTCTTATTCAGGTAATTTTTGCTCTTTGGATTTGCGATTGAAAAAAACGGGTTGATTAAGCTACACTTTACTCGTTTGTGTTCTCATTAGTCTGGTCAAGTGATTCATTTGGTTGTCATACTTTGTTTTCTCAACGCACAAGGGAAAAGAAAGAGTCCAACCACTTGCTACTTTCGACGTTTCAATTTATAATTCTTGGGTCTGGCTGATACTTTCTCCATGACTTTAGTGTCGAGAGAATGCTCTGTCTCGATTCGAGTTGGGAGTTGTTCCCTAGTGACTGATCGATGTTGCCCGTTTCAGGATGTTAGGCTTGTGATTAGTCTAACAAAATGGTAGGCATGAGTGAGCAATGAAAGGAAGTTTTGTATTGGTTTTCCCCAGTAAGTTTACATTCTTACATCCATGTGTTGTCAATACAGGAGCTTTTTGAGGGATATTACTTCTGTCAAGCACAAAGAGAGGATTTCTTTCGACGAGCCAAGCCTTACAAGGACCATCCTACGATTGCAAGGTGAAATAGCTTCTCTAAAATGACTTGTTCATCTTGTTACCTTTTTCCTCTAAACATGGTTTCACTATATCTTTTACATGTGTTGCTTTACAGGATGCAGAAGCTTGCAAAGGAGTTGGGTGTGGTGATACCAGTTAGCTTCTTTGAAGAGGCAAACAATGCACATTTCAATTCAATAGCCATAATTGATGCTGACGGAACTGACCTGGGACTCTATAGGAAGTCTCATATTCCAGATGGACCAGGTGAGTCAATTTTGGAGTTCGGCATAGTTTGAGTATATGGTGGCTTTATCTTTTACCCTCTGTGTTCTCTAACCTTCAGGCTATCAGGAGAAGTTTTACTTCAATCCTGGAGACACTGGCTTTAAGGTGGGTGTGACTAGAAGAACAAATTGCAACATGTTTCTCATTAATCATGCTATCTGGTACAAGTAGTTATGATTGCCTCTTGTTCTGGACAGGTCTTCCAGACAAAGTTTGCGAAAATCGGAGTAGGTAAGATGTTCAAAACAAGATTCTATAATTTCATTTAGCCATTCTTTGTTACACATGATCTTATAAGTTATCAAATTGATGACATGAAAACTAAAACATGTGATGCAATGTGGGTTTAGCTATATGCTGGGATCAGTGGTTTCCCGAGGCAGCTCGAGCCATGGCTCTGCAGGGTGCTGAAATATTGTTTTACCCCACCGCCATTGGTTCTGAACCACAAGATTCGGGACTTGATTCACGTGATCACTGGAGGAGGGTGATGCAGGGGCATGCTGGAGCTAATGTGGTAAAAGCTATTTTTAGGCCTACTACTTTGGTTTTGAAATTCATCTGCATCTTACTGCTATTAATATAACTTACCACTGTAAACTGATTTTAGAGTGACACAAGCAACAATAAGAAGTTTATGAAAGCATGGACTGACCCACATGTGTTTATCTTGTCATTTTTTTTCCTGATTAATACTTACCTTTCTGTGATGAAGATCTAACAAATATGATGTGTTTTTAGGTGCCTCTAGTAGCTTCAAATCGCATAGGAAAGGAAACAATTGAAACGGAGCATGGACCCAGTCAGATCACTTTCTACGGGAATTCTTTCATAGCAGGTTTAGATTATAATAATATAAATGATTTCGAAGTTTAGACTTGAGATTGCTTCATATTGCACACGTTTTGCCACTGCTATGTTGTTGATGTCAGGACCGACGGGTGAGATAGTAGCAGAGGCCGACGATAAAGAAGAAGCTGTTCTTGTGGCGGAATTCGACCTCGACAAGATCAAACACAAGAGGAGTAGCTGGGGAGTGTTTCGTGATCGCCGTCCAGATTTATACAAGGCGATTCTTACTTTCGACGGCAATCTCTAATTCCAATCCTGTTTGCCCTTTCTTTCAAGGTATAAAATGGTGATTTTGTCTAAGTCAGCCACTTTTGAATAACTTGGGTAGAGCCTGTAAACAACTAACTATCGCCGTTTCAGCTTTAGTTAATAAAGAACCCATATTTGTAACATATTATGAAATCTGTTCGAAAAAAAAAATATGTTATTTTGGGATTTAGAATTTATGAAATCTGTTCGAAAGTTTCGTGTTTATACATTTCTGGTTGTCCTGTGCCTGTGGGTCGGTGGGGTTTTCGGGTAATGGCTTTTTTTTTCCCTTGTGGGTTAATGCAAAAACTGATACAGATACAAACTCAGTACCCCAAGCTGTGTAATGTTACAACAGTGTCTGAAAACATAATAATAAAAATACAGGTTTTATAGGAAACGGATATCAACATCCATGGACCAACTAAATTACTTAATACATCACATTAACAAGAAATAATAAAATAAAACAAATAACCAAAACTCACACACACCAAACTTGCTTTTACTATAGTATATCATCCATCCATCCGCCCGTCTGCTCACTTCACTCGCTCCTTGATCGTATACGGCTTAGACTGGTCTGCAATGGGTTTTTTTCTCTATGATCATCGTCTTCCTTTGAACCCGAACCACTCGATACCCCGATCTCTTTCGTTTCCCCGTGACCCGAATCTCTACCCTCACTATGACCCTCCTCTTCATTCTCATTTGTAACCGGTATTTCTTCTTCTTCTTCTTCAAATGCATTGGCTTCTTGTTCTCCGCAATCTTCAGAAGCACTGTCGTAGTAGTTTCCGTCGAGCCCGGAAGATTCGATTTCCCGCTCTCGTAGTGATTTCTCGATGAGGGTCTTGAGCAAGTTCATCACTTGAACCGCGTACATCAATGCTGTCAATGGATCTGCCATCTACAACCACATCCAATCGTGTTTCAGGACAGTTCATCTCTGAGTCTCAGATCTTTACTGTGATTGAATTTCATCTTTCAGACAAAAAGCTAGAAAACAGAGCTGTCTGGTTGTTACTTAACTCAACTCACCTGAGACATGTTGGGTGCAAAGACTAAAGCAATGTTACGAGAGTTCATCTTGTTGGCACGTTCATACTCGACAACATCAGCCATCAGATTGATCGCCCAGTTCAGGAGAGAAGCCTCTGTCTGCGGCAAAAGCCTCACGACTTTTACGAAATCCTCCTCTGATTCACACTGCATCACTTTCTCGGATGGCAGAGGGTCGAGCACCCCTCTCGGGAGTTCTCTAAACCAAGCCTTTAAGAACATCCATAATACCGAACAATCGAGTAAGTTGTTTTTCTTCTTTTCCGATCCAGAGAGTTTAGACGAAAGGATCGTCAGTAAAGAGCTATTTACCTTTATAAGTCCGGCCAAACAATGGACATCGATCCCATCGGGTATGACTCCTTTGTTTAGCTGTTCTCTTACATACTCTTCCTCGCTGTTCTCCGCCGTAATTCTGAAAATTCCTTCTGCCTGACAACATGGTATCGATATCGAAGTGTTGAGACCGTGTCTGGATCCGGTTTTCGCACTCTTTTTTTGTATCCGGATATGAATTATACAAGAGATTGAGAGGGGAAAGATTCACCAGCAAACCTCCTTGTTCGTAAAGCCGGCTTTGCAACAACAAGAGTATGACAGGAACACAGTTCCCTCTTGCATCGTATGATAACTGCATCGATTCTGTCGAAACCCCGAAAACAGTTGCACTGCCATTGAAGGGGAAACCACCAAATAGTTCATCAGTTGGTGAAACAAGATCATGAGTGTGCAGAATCGATATGAGCTGTTTCTTGTAATCTTTCGAAATTGTAATGAAAACTTTGGAATGAAACCCTTGGAGCAAGCTAACTATTAGCTTCATCGATTCAGCTGAGAAATGGCGAGAAAGTTCAGGAAAATGAGAGAAAACATTTTCCGTCACTTTCCCGGAAAACAAACAGGCATTCCCCTGTCTCCCCAACATACTATTTACATCAGGATGTCACAATTCGTCAAACCCTTCATCAGTTCCAAGATCAAAAACCAAAACCCAGAAACAAAATTCGCATATCGCAAAGCAAAAATGCGTAAAAATCGAACCTTGCACTGGGAGCTTTTCTGGGCACATCGGGCTCGAACTCGGAAGGAAGACCCAGGAAGCCATTGAAGCGATCGAAGGTCACGTGAGCCACGTGGCGGACATTGGTCGGCAAACCAATGTCCATGGCTCTTCGGACACCTCCGCCGCCACCGCCGCCGTCCTCCGCCGTGTCTTCCCTCGAGAAGCACCGTGAAAACTCCACGAGGACTCGACCCACCGATCCGGAGCTGCCGAACCGGGAGAGTTCAGGCTTTACGAGATTTCTCCCTCTCTCTATCTCTCCCTCTCCGGAAAACAACTGCCACAGTCCGTCTTCTTCTTCCTCTGGTTCTAAAACCAAACCCCAGAAGAGAAAAAGTTGGGATTTTTTTATGGCAATGTGGTGAATGAATCAGTCAGTCGTGATCGGCGATGAAATGGGTTAACTTGAGAACTATAAAATCATGGAAAACTCTTAATAAAAATTGTCACTTTTGCACAACACAGAGAATGAGAGAGAGAGAGAGAGAGAGAGAGATTGAGTGGCGATGAAGAAAAGGGTTAGGAGGAAGGTGGTGGAACGTGGGAATCACTAAGTTAAATCTGTATTTGAAAAATAAAAAACGCTCCTTTGCCTTTGCTTTGAGTATAAATCTATACACACACACACGTATAGGTGAATACATACATAGGCATACATCAACGGTGGCGAGAAGATTTTCTTAGTTGTAATGATTGAGAATTTTATTGGAAGGAATCTAAAGTTGTCGTGAAGACTACGGAAGAGGAAAAAAACAAGAAAATATGTTCGATTTATATGTTTACCACATATATTTTGGCGGAAAGAAATGTAATGTAATGCAACACTTCTGTAAAAAATTTTAAAAATGAAATTACGCATTAATATTTAATCGACTGAGAAAATTCCAAAAAATTACTTCTCAAAATTTTCATGTAATTTTGCTTTTCAACGTTAGGTATGTAAATTTGAAAGAAATACAAAAAAAAAATGTTTTAAAAGAATCCACTTAATTAAAGTTTTCATTATCTACACACTATTTTCTTTTATAAATATATTTAAAAAGATTCTAATGATCTATATTAAAAAAATTAAAATATCTGTTGTTTCACAAAATACGTGGACGATACAACCTAGAGGCGTGGATAGGGGCAATGTTTTCATTACCGGGTCGAACCGCAACCCGGATGATTGTTAGGTCCGATTCAAGTTCAAAACCGGGCAGCTTATTGAAGCGGTTTGAACCGGATGTAACCCGGTGAAATTGGCTTCCCGGACCGGCACATGAAGCAAATGGCATTATTGATTACACTCACTAGCTAATCTTTGAATTAAACCCAATCAATGATAGTATTAATTACGCACCACGCAGAACCAAAAAGAGCCACATGACGTCAACGCTTGGGGAATGGGAGATAGGGTTTTGTGAATCGGGGAATTTCTGATTCTCTCTCTATATTCATGTCTCCTACCGACATCGCCCTTTTAAGACAACATAATATAGTTTATATAAAAACTCCATACTTTAATTCATATAATTTTCCAATCGATTTCGATTTTTTTTTATTATATGAAAATGTTAGATATTACAAATGCGGTAGAAACTACATTCAATGTATGAAATTGGATTGGTATAAAAACCGTAACAACGAATATATATATATATATATTCGTTAACTAAACCCCTAATCTAATTATCTGGATAATGCGAACAATTAACAATGTAGAACAAAACCCAAAGAAATTCAAATTTCAAAATTGAGTTGTCTTCCCATTAATAACTTATATTTAACCATACATGCATATAAAAGTGGCTGTACTCAAATCCTCATGCACATGCTCACATTAATTAACTCAAAATAATAAGAAAATATTACTATTTCTCTTTGATTCGATCATTTAACAAAACTGGTTTAATCAATAATCACGTTAAATTTATGTACGGATCTGCTGTCATGCGTGAAGTGGGATTATGAAGGGACAAGAGTGTTCCCTTGCATGTGGATTATGTTGCATCCCCTGTGAGTTTCTTCTCTTCTTGTCTCCTCCCATTTGTCCCTAATGTTCCTTCTTCCCATATAATATGATTTTCCTTATTATTAATTTCATAAGGAGATCGTGGTTTATAATAAAATAACGAAGACAATTTGTATGAATTCAATTTGTATACAAATTAGGGTTACAAAATATGTGGTCGGCTGCTGAATAGTTTTTTTTTTTTTGATAATCCAGAAGTTCACCGGGTCTTTGGCCCGACTACATCTTCCAGAGGACCGGGGAAGCCCATGTGAATGCCCATCTCCACGCTTGGGTTTGAACCTAGGATGAAAGCATACTTTGCATGTTCTCTCACCATTAGGCCACCCAAGTTTGGGTGACTGCTGAATAGTTGGAGATGCGTGATAATACAATACGATAATAATAACAAATTAAAGATCAAATTGATTCCTATGTTTGTCCCTAGATGTTCTTGCTAAACCCATACTTTGTAATAACAATATGATAATTGCTTATATAAATAGAAATATATATGGTGCTTATAAACCCATACTTTGTAAGCCATTTTTCATGTGCTCTAAGATACGCGATTTTATAAAAAAAAAATCCATTTTTGCAGGACCATGAGGACATTAAAGGACGTTACTTGTCAGCGGAGATTAATACCAACCCATAACTATATAATAAGAAGTACATGAATTAATTCGAATTTAGTAAAAATATAATAATATCACGGGACAAATGTTATGCCTAAAATTTGACACATATAAAAACCATATGAAACCCACTAACAAAACAGTGCATCATCTCCCTCATGTCTTCGTCTCGATCACAACACATGTCTTCTTCTTCTTCTTCTTCTTCTGTTTGGCTACTTCAACACATGAAGCTGAAATTCTTCACCCGAATTCGCTGCCTCTTGAAAAACGGAGCACCCAGAAAACGAACCCTTCAATCTTCGCCGGAAAAACCAAGAACCACCCATCAAGATTCCGGCCAAGCCTCGCCGGGGGCGGCCGCGGGAAGATCGGAGGACGGTCGTATCGATGAGACGGTGGTGTTGCAGAGGACGGTGAAGAAGCTTCACTTCGGGAGCTGGGAAGAGAAGGAAGCCGCCGCCGGAGAGATAGAGAAGCTCGCCGGAGAAGACGAGAAGTCGCGGCGGCTGATGGCGGAGCTCGGCGTTATTCAGGTTCTTGTTTCCATGGTGGCTTCGGAGGTGGCCGGCCGCCGGAGAGCCGCCGTGAGGGCTCTTATTCAGCTCGCTCTCGGAACCTGCACGTAAGTCCCAAGATTTCTCCCTCCGGGTTTCTTGAAAAGCATCGTTTCAGTTTGAAATTTGAATTGACTATTTTTACAATGTCTTTTTGATAAAGTATGCGTAGAAGGTTGATAGCATTTGGATCTTCAAATCTCTCATAAAAATCAGGGGAAATTATATCACCGATCAGAAATCTCGAACATTGCCAATTTAACTATTTTAAATTTATGGATTTTCTAAATTAGTAAATTAATGTAAAGACAACGTAAATCTAAAACCTAGATATTCATGTTATCATCATCACGTTGATTAGACATTTCGGATTTAATTTTAGGTCAACTTGCAATGTTATTGTTAGGCCTTATCCCATACATAGCATAGTAGTGCTTTTGAAAAAAAAAACGGATTTATATTTTTTTTGGTATCAAACCACTTGAATTTTCTCAGAATTTGGATTATTTAAGTTATGATTATTCAAGAAACACATCAATCAATATATAAGTTGGTTTACCACAATAATCTTCGACTTTTAATGAATTGTTATGAAAAGTACAAAAGTCGTCAAGTCGGACGATCTTGACTTTACGTGTATTTTCTCATTTTCTTCTTCGTTAAACTCATATATATATATGTATATATATATGTATGAATGGGATCACATATATAATAATTGAAATAAGCGAATATAGTGGATCCCACGGGGAAGTCCACTTCGACTCTTGGGGTATGGAGGACGTCTCTCTCTCACGTGGCCTCCTTTGTCTCTATTAGATTTGGTCAGGGAATATTTTGATTTATGCACCAAGTTAAAAGATCGCATTTTCATACCATATAGTTTTAGGAATAATAAATACTGCCTGCAATGACAGATTAATAATCTTTAATCAGTCTCACAAAATCATCATTTTCCGTGTTATGTTTTTCATTGTATACATAAACATGTTATGGTTGAGTTGAAGTTTAACATTTAATTAGCTTAACACGGGAGAAATTATTAATATGGTCTTGTGATTTAATTTCCCTAACAAATATTTAATTTAATTACAGAATATATTTTCTGGGTAGGTCAGATTAGTGGAGAGAGACCAATCACGTTGGTTCATCGATCAGCCATTTCTGTCTCTAGCTAAATAATGTCAATTAATTTTCTGATCAATCAGATCGTGGTAAAGTTGGGGATCAGATTCCATATACCTAAATGTGTGTGCGTTTATATATATATACATATAATTATCATCATCAGACCATATATATATATATATATATATATATATATATATTTTACTGGTTTGACTTTCTAGGCGAACCGAAACTCTGATCGTTGCCTAATCTAGCATATATAAATATATTAATTTTATAATATATAGTTCGGCAATGTGATTTGATTATTGTGAATTATTTTTAGTCTCACAAATTTGATGAAACTTTTTTTTCGCTCATACACGAATCAATATATATATATATGTATGTAAATCCCATTCCGTCAGATAGAAAGGAAGACAAAAGCTAGGGTTTAGTGGCTTCCCTCCTAACAATCAATCAATACCTTGACTTCTAAGTTTCTTATCTCTTGCTTCAGGAACAAGGCACTGATGGTGAATGCTGGAATCTGTTCAAAGCTACTGGTTTGACTTTCTAGGCGAACCGAAACTCTGATCGTTGCCTAATCTAGCATATATAAATATATTAATTTTATAATATATAGTTCGGCAATGTGATTTGATTATTGTGAATTATTTTTAGTCTCACAAATTTGATGAAACTTTTTTTTCGCTCATACACGAATCAATATATATATATATGTATGTAAATCCCATTCCGTCAGATAGAAAGGAAGACAAAAGCTAGGGTTTAGTGGCTTCCCTCCTAACAATCAATCAATACCTTGACTTCTAAGTTTCTTATCTCTTGCTTCAGGAACAAGGCACTGATGGTGAATGCTGGAATCTGTTCAAAGCTTCCGAAAAACATCGAAGCCCTCGACCAACCATCGAGGCATGAATTGGCAGAGCTTCTACATTTGTTGTCTTCTCCAGCAAATTCTCAGTTCCCCGTCGCTTCGTCAGAGATTCTGCCATTTCTGATTGAAACCATGAACTCTGATTCTACCGACATCAAGACCAAAGAGACTTGCCTGGCAACCGTGAACAATCTGTCTGTCGTGCTGGAAAACTCGGGACCTTTGGTCTCCAACAGAGGGGTGCAAACCCTACTGCGCTTGATGTCCGTAAAAGAGTTGTCCGAGAAAGCCTTGGCGACTTTAGGACAACTGGCCGTGACCCAGATGGGGAAAAAGGCGATGGAAGATAGCTTGCTCGTCCCAGAGAGTCTCGTCAAGATTCTGACGTGGGAAGATAAACCAAAATGCCAAGAACACTCGGCTTATATCTTGATGGTATTGGCTCATCAGAGTTGGAGCCAACGCGAAAAAATGGCCAAGGCAGGGATAGTGCCGGCGCTTCTCGAGGTGAGCCTGCTCGGAAGCCCATTGGCTCAAAAGAGAGCCATGAAGTTGTTGCAATGGTTCAAGGACGAGAGACATGTACGGATGGGACCACATTCAGGCCCACAAACGGGCCGGGTCAGCCCGGGAATCGGGTCACCGATGAGCCCGAGATCGGCCGGAGAAGGTAAGAGGATGATGAAGAACCTGGTGAGGCAGAGTTTGCATAAGAACATGGAGATGATAACACGAAGAGCGAATGCGAACGTGGAGACTGAAGCCTCAATGCTTAAGTCTTTGGTCATTAGTACAAGCTCTAAGAGCTTGCCTTATTGATTTTTTTTTTTTGGTGGTTTCCGAATTTTGGTTGTGAATAAAAAATATAAATAAATGCAAGCAATGGTTTCTTGTTGCATTGATAACAATTCCTCCAAAGTCTAATCATGAAATATTTTCTGACGATGAAAGCCGATGAGCCCATTTTGGTTTAAGTAAAGAAATGGGCTATTTTGTAATTTATCTACAATTGCCTTCTCATACGCGCGCGTGCGCGCGTGTGTATATTACTCGAAGGCATAAGTTCCAATTAATGTCACGATTACTTGATAATTTTTGTGTTCGTAGTAAAAGTAAATGCATAAATTTGTAGGATACAGATGTTTAGAATAAAAATATCTTAATTAAAGCTATTTATTTATAAAATATATATAAATTATGATTTAGCAAAAAGAAACCCATCAAATTGCAACCTTATTCAAGATTTCAAATGTAAGGTGGGAGTCTCATCACGATTTTTCGGAAACAAATCAGACCAACCGAAAATTTTCGAATCAAACCGTTTTAAAATTCTGAAAGGTATTATTGAAAAAACCAAAATTTTCGAAACTAACTCGAACCCAAATTTTAAAAAAAAAATTCTGAAGAATGGAAATTTTTTTTTAAAAAAAAATTAAATCGAATCAAACGAATGATTTCATTATTAAAGATTAAATTTGAGAGAGAAACGAAAGAGGCATTGATGGCCGAAATCGTACAAGAGATTCCATCTTATTGTTTTTGGCCCTTGTTGCGTATGAGATTTGATTATTATATAGTTTTTGTGAAAAGGTTTTAAATTTTAACAAATAAAATTAATGCGTTATCATCGGCCAAATTTAGATGTGTTCGAATGGGAACGTCTTGAATTTAGATGTGCGCGAATATAAGATATGTTTTTGGCACGAAGTTAAATATTTTCTGGCCGATAATGTTTTTCCTTGAAATTCGGAGTCAGCAAGTATATATCATTATATTTTAGATATTTTATAATTGCATATATCATCATTATTTCTGTGTTTTAATAATTATAAATATTTAGTTTTTTAATTTCATAAAAGAATAAAGAAACTTTTTGTGGTATATCACCTTTTCTATACAACTTTTCTTAAAAGTAAAAATAAAAATAAATTTTGTGATTGGTGTTGCAGGGAAAGATAATTTCCTCTCGTTGTCAAAATAATTGGAGGATCAGATATATATGAACACATCCCTCGAGTCTTTTCAGGTATTCACATTGGCAAATCTCATTTCCCTCTTTTAAAATTTTCACATTTATCTCAGCCACAAATGATTCAAATATATAATTATGATGTGTTCTAAATTCTATATTGTTTTATTCCACACACCCATATATATATATATATATATATATATATATATATATATGTGTGTGTGTGTGTGTAAACACGTGTGGGGTGTGATGCAACTTGTAAATGATTCAAATATATAATTATGATGTGTTCTAACTTGTATATTGTTGTGTTTGCGCACACACATGTATACACATAGTGTGTGTATATGTGTAAAACATGTGTATGCATGTGCATGCAACTTGTAGAATGGAGGAGGAAGCGTAGCCAATTGGCAATAACAATTATTTCAGTAACGAAGAGGCTTGAACGAAAAGCTGAAGCCAAATAATTTAAAAAAAAAAAAACACATTGGAGATAATATTATTCCAATTATTATTATTTTTTTGGTCGAAAAAATTAAATACGTAATGTTGATAATGGAAATGAAATGATCACTTTGTAACTGAATGTGTAATAATAGTACGTAGTCTTTGAACTTTTTCATACTAACTCAAGTGGACTCTAAAATAAATAATAATAATAATAATAATAAAGAAAAAAGGTTACTATTCCTCAAGCTTAACTTGGAGATGGTTTCAACGTCCACTATATATATAAAAAAAAAAGTAGTGTGAATTTGTTTCATATTTTTAAAAATCTCGTTACATTATAGAAACCTTGACTACATGGCTTAAATTTAGTTACTGTATTATTATGATGTAAATTTAGTAGCTCTAATAGTATCCGACAATTGATATATTTCCCTCAATAAAATCTTAAAATTCATGAACGAAATATCTTCTTAGAAAATCAGCCATATATATGTATAAGCGAAGCCCCTGATTGGTAACCTTTTAATTATTATTATATTTATTTTACAATTATTATTTTTTCTCCCACCGTCATATATGCTCACAACTTTTAATGTGAAAGCATGTATATATACCCTTGGCTGAATATAGACGATCTAGCTAATTTGTAAATCGTGAATATATAATATATACTATAAGGAAAGTCTAAATGACAAAATACGGATTCATATTCGTGATCCTTGTGTTAACTTATCTAAAGGCCTATGGTCCACCTTAGGTATATTTTTTATTCCTTGGTGATTAATGGATTTATCCCTGATTTTATAGTATATTCAAATTTTACTAAACCAAAAAAGTAAATTTGAAATTGAAATGAATTTTTATTTATCGGTCATTATAATAACATGAGTATAATAAACCCACCAAATATATTTTAAAATTTCAAATATATCGAGGTTAGCAAACAAAAATAATGTATTTTGGACGAATTAGTTAAAGAAATACTATGGTGTTTGTGATGATAATAAAAAAAATATGAATAAGAAAACTCCATTGAATTGATTAATTTACAAAGACTATACAAAGATTTAAATAGAACAACATCGTCCTAACGTGCACTAAGACAAGAAGAAGGAAATAAATCAATTTCTAATATATGCTAAGAAACAGAAATGAAAAATTAATATGCGCATAAACCCAAAAAGAAAAGTAAATGACGTCTATACTAAGGGGAGATTTTTGATTAATTTAATTCCTTGCATTATGAATCTCAATCTTCTTCAAGGGCAACAAGATCTCCTTAATCTTTATTTTCTTTAACATTGGTTGGATCCATGAATTTGGAGAAAAAACAATGAAATCTCTAGCGGCAAAAAAAGAAAAAAAAATGCAAAAAACCAAAATGAGCTTTCATTATAAATTATTCAAAAGAGAAACGTGTAACTACACGTTTTACAATCTCTATATAACACCACACCTTCTCATAACCTAAACACATTTCCACATTACCCAAAACATGGCCTCGTCTGTAATATTTCCGATACTAACCATTCTTGTGAGCTCCACGATCTCTGGAGCCACCTCTCGTGGCGGCAGCTTCTTGTCCGAAGCATCAATGGCCGAGAAACACGAGCAATGGATGGCTAGATTCGCTCGCGTTTACGCAAACGAATCCGAAAAACAGATTAGGTTTGATATATTCAAGAAAAACTTGGAGTTCGTCGAGAACTTCAACAAGAATGGGAACGCGACATACAATTTGGGTATTAATCAGTTCTCGGACATGACCGACGAGGAATTTCGTGCCATTTACACTGGACTTAACATGCCGGAAGGTATAAATGGAATTTCCTTGTCCGGATCCGATGAAACGGCGGCCTTTCGGTACGGGAATGTCACTGACGCCGCTGAGAGCATCGACTGGAGGAGTGAAGGGGCAGTTACCCCTGTCAAGAGCCAGGGGCGTTGTGGTAATTTTCTGTAACTATGGAGAAATATAACATTTTCTTCGTTTCTTTTAGCATTTTGTTCAGCAAAGACTAAGCTGATTTACCACGAAACGAAAGTAATCTATAGAACTCATAAAATCATCATTACGTTATATATCCACTTGATTTGCCATCAATCTAACAAGCGATGGATATTAGGTTGTTGTTGGGCGTTCTCGGCTATCGCGGCGGTGGAGGGCATCGCAAAGATCACGAAAGGCGAACTCGTATCTCTGTCCGAACAACAGCTTTTAGACTGTGACACTGAATACAACGCAGGCTGCGGGGGCGGAATAATGTCGAAAGCCTTCGAGTACATAACCAAGAACCAAGGCATCGCGTCGGAGGAAGACTACCCTTATCAAGAATCGCAGCAAACCTGCCAAGCAAACGCTCGATCCGCCGTTAGAATCAGCGGGTATGAGACCGTTCCAAGAAGCAACGAGGCAGAGCTGATGAAGGCGGTGTGGAAGCAGCCGGTCTCGGTGGCGATAGAAGGGACGGGAGAAGCATTCAGGCATTACTCGGGCGGGGTGTTTGACGGAGAATGTGGTACGGATCTGCATCACGGGGTGACAATCGTAGGGTACGGAATGAGCGAGGGGAACAAGTATTGGTTGTTGAAGAATTCTTGGGGAGAGAGTTGGGGAGAGAGTGGTTACATGAGGATTCGGAGAGAAGTGGAAGCTCCTGAGGGTAAGTGTGGTTTGGCAATCTTGGCCTTCTATCCAGTTGTTTAATCAACCGTCTACTTATAGTGGAAACCCTAATCGAAGTTCCGACAACACAAGAGAATAAGTTTAGACAAAGACAAGATAAGAAGATCGTTTATTTGCTTATGATTTATGGATTGTTGCGTGTAATGCACGCGCGGTATCAGTCGCTGTTTATGTAATTTGAAGTTTGTGAAACGTTCCCGAAATAAACCGTTGAGAAATGCCGGATAAATGAAACCATATTAAATCAAATCAAATATAAACAAAACTCAAAAAAAAAAAAATTCTGGAATAAAACTGATATCAAACGAAACCGAACTTATTATAATATCCAAATAGTACAAATTTCTATTATTTAGTGATTAGCGTTGACACAATAAAAATAATGATAATATTTGGATAATAATATTGTTAGTGATAAATAATAGCAGATTTTTAAATAAAAAAATCAACGCTGCAATTCAATTGATTAGTTTTATTTTAATGGCAAATCACGTTGAAAAGTCAAACCAAATAAATCCGATGTTATACGCGACGCTTTAGATTTCTTTGAATATATTGACTCGGTCAAACCATGTCCGTATACGTCTCTCAGCATCTCTATGCAGACTTACTTGCCATGTCACCGTTAACAATAACATTACGTTATACATGTCAACGTTTGCTTTGGATCTGTGTGAAACAAGTTCGAAAATACACGGTCCAATACAAGTAACATATTTTATACACACATAAAATACCCATGTATTAATTAAGGACATTAATAATTTATACCAGACAGCTAGTTAAGATAACCAGCAATATATATCTAACGCCGCCGTGTCCATGGCGGTAACCGCCGCTACCGAAGCGGCCACCAGGTGGTAGTTGCATCGCTCCTCCGCCCGGCGTGGGACCGCCGCCACCGCCGCTTCCACCGCCTCCTCCATCAACTCCGCCATCACCACCGCCTCCTCCGTCATCGCCACCGCCGCCGCCGCCTCTGCCTCCGCCTCTATTTCCTGAAGAGCCACCGCCACTACCTCCCCGGCTTCCCCCTCCACCGCTGCCACTGCCTCCCCGGCTTCCTCCTCCACCGCCATTGCCGCTACCGCCGCTTTTACCGCCGCTTCCTCCACCAGAGCTACCACCGGAGCTACCACCACTTTTACCGCCGCTTCCGCCGCTGCTGCCACCGCCACCACCACGGCTCCCTCCGCCTCCGCCGCCACCTCCTCCTCCGCTGCTGCCTCCACCTCCGGGCAATTGCCTCCGCCAAATGGGAAAATCCACCGGAGACGACACCGTTTTTCCCGAGGAGGGCTCGAACTTCAGATCAACGGCTGAGGAAGAGTCATTGGAGAATGATCCAACGGCCTTGATTTGTGCATGAATGAAGAGAAATAGAAAGAAATGTATCACGAGTTTGAGATTTTGGAAGTCCATTTCTTTTGCGTGTGACACCGAGGACAATTCCCTGTCCATATATTTGCTTATGTGTATATATATATATAAAGAAGTAACCATGATTTATCAAAAAAAAAAGAAAAGGAAGTAACCATGCAATTCGTTGAATATAATCATAATCGTTATCATATATGATGAGAGTTGACTTTTGGATATACATTCAAAGATCCTTTTTGCGTTTATGATTTACTTCAAGGATCTATATAAACAAACGTGTGTATATATATGTCGGACTTGTGACAACCCATGTGTCGGCCCGCAGAATTATATGAGAATGAAGAATGAATTTGGCCACCAAAGCCCAATCCACGGCAATCTCATTTCCGTATTGTAAGACTATCTACGTTAGTGTATATGTTATATTTTGGTCGTTGATAGATTACTATTATATTAATATTATGCATATAAGCAAATAAAGTTGATTTACTTTCTCATTTTTGTTACCTTATATCTCAATTATTTCCCCCCCGCAAATTAAGAATCGATTGAGTGAGGTTTCCGTTCAAATATAATTTTTATAAAAAAAAATTGACAGTTGTGTATTTTTACATATGAAAAACATTCATAAATTATAGAAAAAGTTGGACTGTTAAAATAATTTTTATCTTTTACAAATTAAATATTATTCTTAGCGAATTCATAATTATCTTAAATGTACAAACTCGAAACTCTTAAATTCATATGCATTGACTTTCTGATCAATCTAAAGTTTTTAAACTATGTAGTTCTCTCTAAACCTAATCGGTTACCGGTCGAATTATATTTATCTTATATATATATATATATATATATATATATATATTGAGGGAAATTAAGTGTAACTAAAGCATAGTTTCAAAATAATTTCATCATGACCTAATCCTACCATTTAAAGTAGGCATTTTCAACTGTTATAATTATGGGTCAACCTCAGCATGCTTTCGTTAAGTACACAAAGATGGAGATATTTAATGATTGACCAAAGTGTCATCGACCAACCAATCAACAATGTCTTTTTATTACACAAATAAAATGTCGCCTTTTTGAAACCTAAAAGGGGCACATACCCAAACCCATAACCCACACAATTCACCAACTCTATTACAGCACACACAACACACGTATATATATATATATATATATGCATGCAACACTCGAGAATTCATCATCATCATCATCTGATCCTTGAATCTTCCTCCAAATTTCAGCTTTCTCCTCCTTCAATCCTATTCAAAACCCTAATTTCTTACAGAAGAAATGGATATTGAGAAGGCATCGAGAAGACAAGAAGAGGAACCCATTGTTCAAAAGGTGAAGCTGGACAAAGGCAAAGGGAAAGCTGTGTTTGCTCCTCCGGCTAACTATAAGGATGTCCTGGACCAAAGGAAGCAAGAACAAGTGAAAGCCGACGGCTTGAAGAGAGGTGTGGCCATTTTCGATTTCGTCCTTAGACTGATTGCGGCCATTACCGCCATGGCCGCAGCTGCGAAAATGGCTACCACCGACGAGACTCTTCCGTTCTTCACCCAGTTTTTGCAGTTCCAAGCCGACTACACCGATCTACCGACTTTCTCGTAAGCTTCTTCCTCAGAAAGAAGTTTATCAAACCAGTGATTTATTGGCCATCTGACTACATTTTCATATATACTTCCGTTTTGGAGGGGAATTGCGTAATTTTCAATGCAAGAACACACAAGAACTCGTATACGTAATAAGAATATGGCATATATATATATATATATATATAGATCTAATGAATTTCGATTTTGTTTTGTTCGTAAGGCTTTTCGTCATAGCAAATGCGATCGTTGGAGGGTACCTCACCCTCTCCTTGCCCTTCTCCATCGTCTGCATCATCCGCCCTCTCGCCGTGCCTCCGAGGCTCTTCTTGATCATCTGTGACACGGTACGATTTCATATAATAAAGAATATAAACGTGCTAATACGTACGTAAACTCTAGAATTATGCGAAACTCTCTTGGTGATTTGTCAGGCGATGGTGGCGGTGACGACGGGGGTCGCGGCTGCATCAGCTGCGATAGTGTACTTAGCACATAACGGGAGTCCGAGCGCCAACTGGCTGCCCGTATGCCAGCAGTTCGGAGATTTCTGTCAGGGGACAAGCGGAGCTGTCGTGGCTTCCTTCATCGCGGCTGCCCTTCTCATGCTCCTCGTTGTCTTGTCCGCTTTTGCTCTCCGGAGATGATCATCAACTTGAAAGATTTGATATGAAACCACATACACACGCATATATATACATACATATATATATATACAGTTTCATCATTTTACGTGTGTTTTCTTTTCAGGATCTCAATTTGTCTGCTCCTTTTGTTTTTGTTTCCGAATTCATTTGTGTGATTTGGTCTGTTTTTTTCTAATGTTTGTGTAATTGTAAATGTTGGATTTAATTGTGAACGGAAGTTTAAAGTCTTCCATTCTATATATATCAATCTTTTTGTGCTTTCTATAAATATGTGTCACTCTCTTTTAACAAGTAAAAAATTTCACATTTTTTTTTATTAATGCTCAAGCTAAATGTGGCCATATTCATTGTTGCCGAGGAGGCGTGTAAAAGGAGAAGAATATTCATTGGGATTTACGAGGAAATGAAAGTAAAGAATCCGATTGGGGATTCCTCACTCCAACACAGAGTCGAACCCAACTCACACGCAATACCCACTTCATAACAGAAACACCATTATTGTACAATTAATTATACCCCTAATATAATCACTTAATTGTCCCTCTGCCCCAATCATTATTATAAGTATCCTATTCGTCCATTTATGTTTCAAATTAGTGAATGAAGAGATGATATAATTCTAAAATTAAAAAAATTCCAGATTTACATTTTTCCAAAAAAGGAATGTCGATAAACAAACAACCCGATTTTTTTTTTTGGGTATTGAATTTCGATAGAAAGCAATAATTGATAGCATAACAGTTAAAATATCTGCTTAAAACGAATCGGAGAACGAATAAATCCGTCGGCACGGAGAGAGACGCATTAAAACATTGGACTCAATTAATCTTTTTAATAGTAATTGGCCTATCTTGTATTTTTTTAAGAGTTTAGGGATTGTAAATGCAAATAGCCCGAAACATTAAATAAACGGCGATGAGTCGTCGCGGAGTCCACGTCATCACATCGGCCGTACATCCCGTCGCCTCCACCATTAAAATAAAAGGGCTTCCTCCATTTTTTCCCCTCTAAACAAATTTTTTCGTACCTTTCCTCTGTTTCTCTCTCTAGAAATTTACTCCCCCCTTCGTCTGGAAGAGAATATACACATACAGATACATATATACATATATAATCTTTGTATCTCTTCTCATAAAGCCCTAATCGCCTGATTCTGTTGACATTCCTGGAGAAGTTTTTTTTAACTCTGTGTGGGATCTCGAATCGGTATCTTTTTCAAGGTTCCTGAATCTATCTCTATTGGTGAGTTTCCAGTCAACTCTAGGGTTTTGATTCTTTGATTTTTTTAGCATCGATTTTGGAGCATTTGATTTGCGTCGATGTTCGATCGGCGTGTTCGATTGGGTTCCTGCTGATCCTTGGGGAGAAGAGTATCTGATGCCTGCTGAAAATTTCAATTCGATTGGTGTGTAGCTTTCTCTGCTTCGGTTCTTGTCTGTTTGGATACTGATAAATTGTAGGAAAATGACGAAAAGATTAATTACTTCGTGGATATGTGTCTCGTTTCATGTACGGTTCAGAATGAAAGTTGATTTTTTTTTAACGAGAAATTTAGGGTTCTTGATATGCGTACACTTGGTTTTTCCCACTTATTTTGCTCAAGAATCAAATGGGTGTTGGTGGATGTTTTTATGATCTTGTTTTGTTGATCTTTTGGTTGGTTTCTTTGGTAATTACGTTGTTGGTTGCAGCTTTGGGCTAGTGAAAGTCATCTGTTTTTGGAATGTTTTGAGTTCTAATTCCAAGAACTTGGAAGGATTTTTTATTGTGTTAAAGTTTAGGTTGGTTGGTCTGATGATAATTCTTAGGGGAATGCAGAGAACGTTTTGCGAGGAGGAGAGTGCTCTCTGTTGGAAGGAATCCTTAGGGCCGAAGGCAAGAACAAGGGACAAACTTAGGGATAGTCTTTCTCCTTTCTAATTTTGAGACAAAGGTCTTGTCAAAATGACACGCATTCTGGTTCAGCGTGGTTCTGCAAGCAGTCCTTCCAACCAGAGCCGCTCT